ATTCCTGCTAGCTTGGGATCATTGCCCCCATTTTACAGATATGAAAACTGAGGCTTATCGAGGTTGACTGGCTTGCTCAAGGTTACCTGTGTGGGGGAGCAGGTCCTTCCTGTCTTAGCATGGTGACATCAGAATTGGGCCCTCATCTGACTGACACCGAGGCCGGTCTTTCGACTGCCCTACAGTGTACATGTGCTCACATGTGCACATATACATATGCATACCAAATCATGTGGCTTCCTTACATGGCTCTTTGGTGTCTTTTACAGGGACCCTGAAATACTGATGTCTTAAAGAAGAAATCTGAGGGTGGTTAGGAAAAGAAAGATTACAAAGTGGACAGAGCTGGTTGCCCACCCCATAGGGAATCCTACTTGTGCCCATGCTTATGTCCTTCCTCTTAGGTAGTCCCATGTGTCCAGCACTGGCACCCCTCTGAGTACCAGACTTGGGGTTAGGGCACTGTCACCCTGATGTAAAGCAGAAAGGTGAGGGAGGCAGACATAGAAACCAATCATTACCATTTGGTGCACTGATAAGTACTTCAGACTTTTTCTATCTTTCCCAAATACCCTGCTCCCTTCTGCCCCTTTGCAAACTCTTTTTGCCAGAATCCTCACCTCTTGGCTTTGCCAAGTCTAGCTCATCCTTTAGATCTCAGCTTTGTTGTTATTTCTTCAGGAAGCCCCCAAATGTAGGCTAACCATCTCTGCTGTATTACCCTCAGACATAGTACTTATTCTATACTGTTATAATTGCCTAGCTGTTTGTCTGTCTGCCCTACTAGAAGGTGGGACCATGGCTATTTTCTCACTATGATATCATTAATATCTGGAACAGGGCCTAGTACATAGGAACTCAATGAACATGTTGCATGAATCAATGAGTAAGTCAGTTGGACAAAGGAGAGAGCTACATGTTGAACTGATGGCACAGATGTGCTATCTGACTATCTCTCTTCTCTTGTGTTGGTTTTCCAGCTATGGCAGCCAGGACCCCCCCAGAGCCAAGACCTTCTCCAGAAGGTGACCCCTCCCCACCTCCGCCACCACCACCAATGTCAGCCCTGGTCCCCGATACTCCCCCGGACACGCCTCCTGCCATGAAGAGTGCCACTAACGCTAAGCAGCTCCCACTGGAACCAGAGAGCCCCCCAAGGCTGGTTGGGCCTAGACCAGCCCCCCATCAGGAAGAGTCCCCTTTCTCAGAAGCGAAGATCAGGGGACCTACCCCACCAGCCACAAGCTCACGGGATTCTAAGCCTATCCGAAGGAGCAGCCAGCCATCCCCAACAACAGTGCCAGCCTCTGACAGCCCTTCCGCCAAGCAAGGTGGGTGTGATATCCCCAGTCCTGGGCTGAGACCCTTTAGCTTAGGGTCCTAGTTCTGGGCGTTGCCACTAGAGGGAATCCCTCTGCCCTGGAGATGAGATAAGGGATGGGGTGAGGCCTAGGGGGAAGGCCTTGAGGCTTAGCCTCTCCTTTGGCAGAGCCGCTTGACCTAAGTCTATTCTCGTTCCTTCTACTAAGATGCAAAGAAGGCAGAAGAGAGACATAAACTGGCAAAGGAACGGCGGAAAGAGCGGGCCAAGTACCTGGGTGAGTGTTTAGGAAGCACCATCATCTTCCTCACCATCGTCGCCATCACTATCACGTTAACAACGTTAACACTTGTGGAACACTTAATTATGTGCACTGTGCTAAGACCTACAGTACATGCATTATCTCAGTTAATCCTCCAACCCATTTTGAGGAAGAGGAAACAGAGGCTCAGAAAAATGAAATCATTTGCCTAAGCCACACAGCTCATGGAGTGCCTGAGATTCAGACCAGAAGCTCATACTCTTAATTACAGTACATGAAAAAAATCTCTCCCTCAGGCCCAAAGTCAGGCAGGGATCTGGTACTAAAGAACTCATTTTTCCTTCAGTGCCAAGTGACACGAGGCCAGTGGGGGAGAAATAGGCCTCCCATTGTGGGGCCCTGAATCCATCTTCAAGAAGCTCTTTAATTTGAGGTGGGGAGTCTGAGAGCCAGGGCACCTCCCCACCAAGCAGGCAGGAGAAAGACCCACGCAGGGTAGGGTTACCAGGGAAGGCCTACCCCATGCAGAACCCCTCACGTCCTCTGGGGCTCCTTTCCCACAGCGGCCAAGAAGGCCGTGTGGCTGGAGAAGGAGGAGAAGGCCAAGGCGCTACGGGAGAAACAGCTCCAGGAGCGCAGGCGGCGGCTGGAGGAGCAGCGGCTCAAAGCCGAGCAGCGCCGAGCAGCCCTGGAGGAGCGGCAGCGGCAGAAGCTCGAGAAAAACAAGGTGCGTGTGTGCTCACTTCTGACTGGAGATGCGTGGGGCTGCGTGCTTGCAAGTGGGCACATCTGTACCCTGGCTCAGTATGTGGTCATATCTGTGGTCATGTCATGGGTTATTTAAAGAAAACCATTGGGTCAGGGGGGGCACTGAGGCCCCCAGTGGGTACAACATCTGGGCATCTGTGCAACTGCAGACATGTTTGAGTCAGTACATGTCAGGTGGGCACCTGTAACTGTGTGCTGTCAGTACAAGTATTTGTGTGTGTGCCCTGTGTGTATGTGTGTGTGTGCATGTATGTGTTCGTACGAAGAGTGTGCTGTGTGAGTGTGCTGAGCGCCACGATGTAGGAGAGCCTTGACTTTAGCACCAGTGAAGAAATGAAGGAAAAGGTGGTCTGGCTCTGCCCTGCGGCCCAAGGTCAGGACTCTCAGTGCCAGGGGGACATGGCCCCATCTGGGAGTCCCAGGCAGGGGAGTCCCACTCTGTCCTCAGAGAAACAGCTCACACACCCAGAAAATGACTCAAGAACAGTGAAAAGCTCCCCAAGAACAAGTTTAAATGGATCTGTTGCAAATGGTCCTTAATCATAACAAGGATTTGGTCACTTTGGTTACCTGTAATGAGTCATGGAACACTTTGGGGAGTGCGGGTTGTCACAGGTGAGGGAGGGGCCTTTCTCCCGGATATGATGAATGAATCTGAGCCTAGACCTCTCTTCTCCCCCAACCACCTACCCACCCACCAGGAGCGCTACGAAGCAGCCATTCAGCGGTCAGTGAAGAAGACATGGGCTGAAATCCGGCAGCAGCGCTGGTCCTGGGCAGGGGCCTTACACCACAGCTCCCCAGGACATAAGACTAGTGAGTGGGCTAGAGGGGCTGGTGGGTGGGTGGGCGAGGCCAGGTCCTGAAGAGTGGGGGAAGGGAGCAGCTTCAGTGCAAGGACCGGCAGCTCCCTGTAGCAGGTATGCCTTGCTTCGTGTGACTTGTGTCTACTGGAATGGTCTGTAAGCCAAATTATCCCTTCTCAAGAACTTCCACTATCAAGTCAGAAATGGATCCTCTTCATTTGGTTTGCTCATCAAACCTGTCATTTTCAGTTTAGCCTTCTGCTCCTGTCAATTTTTATTAGCTGATGATACAGAAAAGAGGACTTTAATGCCCTGTAGACATGGGTTATTTAAAGAAAACTGTCACCCCCTAATGTACCTATCTTGGAAGGTAGATTTTTGTCTCTGAGTTTTCTTCATGTAGGGCCATCATGGATTTTGGTCTGATTCTTTGCTGGCATGTATGTACCACTGTGTTTGGATCTCTCTATGTAATGGCAAGGTTCAGTATTTCTAGCTGTGTATCTTTTGGTATATGTGCTCATGGATCTGGGTATTGTGGCTCTTAATATTTGTTTGCCTTGGTGTGCTTGTGGCCTTGTGGACCGCAGTGAGGGATCCCAAGTCTGACAGAATTGGGTTAGGATCTCAGCTCTGGCACTTGTGTTGTGACCTGACTTCTCAATGTCTCACTTTCTTCATCTGTAAAATGGGGATAACAATACTACTTGCCTCCGAGGTTGTAGGTAGATGTTTGGGAGGATCAAGTGAGGTAACATGTGTATGGTGCCCAGCACAGTGCCTGGTACATGGTAAGCATCCAACAAACGTTAGCTGTGCCAATACCATGATTAAGTTGCTTCGATGTGTTTGTGCCTGTGTGCATCTGGATCTGACACATTATTTGTTAGTGTTTGTGTTTCTATACCTGCGCATGTCTGCACACACATGTGCATGCAGAAGTCCCTATCACTCTATATGCCTGTACCTGCATGTCTTTGTGTGTCCGTATGAATATGTGGATTTGTAAGAATGACTGTGACTATGAGTTCTTCCGTTTAGGAACTGCTCTGCATTTGTCCCAGTACATGGGTGTTGTAGCCATTGCGCCTTGGCTGGGCAGCGTCAGCAAGTGCCAACACTGGGTGGTTGTGGGGGAGGGGTTGCAGTGCCCAGCCCTAGGGAATGGCTTCCTGGCCAGGAAGGCTGTAGTTTCTCTAGTTTTACTCCATCTCCTTCCTCTGTTCCTTCTCCGTCGGCTCCCCCAATCCAGGTTGTCCCTGGTCACCTACCCATCCCCCTCCCAGGGCCAAGTCTGCCTCCTCCTCCCCTTCCTAGCCTGCCCACTCCTCCCTCCCCTATCCTACCCACAGAGCATCCTGCATGGAAGGCCTCAGTGCCCCCCCTGGCTCCTGTCTGGCCCGGCCCTAATGCCGTGTCTTTTCCCCTCCAGGTGGGAGCAGGTGCTCCGTGTCGGCAGTAAACCTGCCCAAACACGTGGACTCTATAATCAACAAGCGGCTCTCAAAGTCCTCTGCCACGCTCTGGAACTCCCCCAGTAGAAGTAAGAGAAGGCCCAGCCCTGCTCCCTCCAGAGCCCCTTTGTAGCCCCCACCAAGCCCCTCAGAGCTCAACAAGAACCCCAGGTTCCCGCAGCCCTCATGTATTACAGGTCTCCATTCCTTCTCTACCCCGCCTGGGACTCTACACCCCTAGGGGGAGCCGGCGTCTGGGTCTAGACCCTGAGGACAGAGATGTGCCCTGCAGGGGAGGAGAACAGAGAAAAAGGGCAGAGAGCAGGCAGAGAGCCTGGCAGGGGCCTCAAGAACAAGTGAGGGTGGGGTGGGGGTGAGAATGGACAGGAAGCCTCCAACCACAGCCAGCTGGCCTAGGCCAGCCTTAGGCAGGTGGCCTTGCCCCTGATTACTAGACTGCCCTGGGTGCTGTGTGTGGCAGGGCCCCTTATTCTGGCTGCACCCTGAAGGGCCCATACAACCCTGCCTTCTCTGCCTTCAGAGCCCCAGCCATGGCCTTGGCTAGCTCCAGAGCTGTGGCCAACCAAGGTGGCATGGCCCCTGCGTTCCCACCATGCCCTGGTGCAAGTTATTTATGTTTCTCCAGCTCTTATTTGGTTGCTTTGTTGCCTAGCAACCAAATCAGCTGCTGTACCAACCCCACCTGACTAAGGCTTAAAAATAACCCAGCAGCTGAGGGGACAGAGCACTGTGGCCCAGGGCAGCCAGGCTCCCTAGCAGCCTCTCCTTGGCATGGGACACCTAAAAGTTGGGACTTTCCTGAGTCAGAGGAATACAAGGACCCTCACTGTCTCAAATCCATGGGGTCATGCCTCCCCAGGCCAGCCTCTGATAGCAGGAGGAGCAGGGCCCTACAGTGGGGCACAGGGAGAGGGCAGTTGGTCTTTCACCAACCCTGGGAGGCTCCTTTCTGTACTCACAGTTCAGAGCCCTTTCACTTAGGGGTTGGTAGGACGGGTCCCTTAAGCTACTGCAGAACGGTTACCCTGGGAAGTCTTACTAGGGTCTGCATTGGGGGTCAGACCCTAGGGCAGACAAGTGTGCCTGGCGTGACTGGAGGAGAGTCCCCTAGGGAAGACTCCTTGGGTTTGGCATGGGGATGATGCCTGGCCACCTCTCTTTGCCTCTGCCTGGCTCCTGCGGCCCCCTGCGGTGATCGGCTCCTGGCATTCTCCCCTAGATCGCAGCCTGCAGCTGAGCGCATGGGAGAGCAGCATCGTGGACCGTCTCATGACGCCCACCCTCTCCTTCCTGGCACGGAGTCGCAGTGCAGTCACACTGCCCCGCAACGGCCGGGACCAGGGTAGGGGCGGCGGCCCTGGGAGAGCCCCCACAAGGGGCCGGGCAGGGGCCAGCCTCGCGTGTGGGCCACACCCCGACCGCGCTCATCCCTCCGCAGCCGTGCCGGTGTGCCCGCGCTCGGCCTCCGCCAGCCCTCTGACGCCTCCATGCAGCGCCCCCCGCAGCGTGCACCGCTGCGCCCCCTCCGGGGATCGCGGGGAGCGCCGCAAGCCCAGCGTGGTGGGCAGCCCCGCCCCGGCCCGCCGCCGGCCAGAGGCCTCTCCGGTAAGTGGCCGTGCAGGTGGCGAACAGGTGGGGACCGAGAGCCTGGACCCAGAACACAAACGCCATTGACCTCTGCTCCCTGCCTCCCCACTCTCCATCCCTTTCCTCACCAGGTGCAGAAAAAGGAGAAGAAGGACAAGGAGCGGGAGAATGAGAAGGAGAAGAGTGCCTTGGCCCGGGAGCGCAGCCTCAAGAAGCGTCAGTCTCTGCCTGCCTCTCCGCGCCCGAGACTCTCTACCGGCGCGGCCTCTGAGCTCAGGTGGGCACGGCCTACATGGCACTAGGCATTCATTCAATCAGTCATTCACAGATATTTGTTGGGCACCCACTTCTAAAATGAAGAAAACTTGAGGGCATATTTTATTTTTGAGGGCTTCGATCCCTGAAGTACCCTAGCACCTAGCACAATGCCTGGCAGCTGATAAGCATTCAACAATTACTGCCAAATCAATGAATGGGCCTGCCAGGTACTGTATGGGAGCTGAAGACACTTCATGAGCCAAACCAGGCCTCATTCTAGGCTCGTTAATCTTACCAGCTATGGGGAAGACAGACATTAATCAAAGGATCACAAACTGAGATATAAGACCTAAAATGAAAACCTATGCTTCTGTGAAAGCATATAAAGTGGGGGGTGCTGACCTAGCCTGGAAGGATAGTTCCCTTTGGAGGTGACATGCCCAGAATTGTGTGTGTGTGTGTGGATACTCTGTGCCCTCCAGACCTAACTCTTCCCTTTTCTCTCAGTCCCAAATCCAAGGCCCGACCATCCTCTCCCTCCACATCTTGGCACAGACCTGCCTCTCCCAGCCCAGGCCCCAGCCACACTCTGCCCCCCAAACCGCCATCCCCCCGAGGCACCACTGCATCACCCAAGGGGCGGGTTCGGAGGAAGGATGAGGCAAAGGAGAGCCCCAGTGCGGCAGGATCCGAGAACAAGAACCAGAGCAAGAACAAAGCCAGTGATGAGAAGGAGCCTGCAGCCCCAGCCTCGCCAGCATCCTCACCTGTGCCCTCACCCACTCCAGCCCAACCCCAGAAGGAGCAGCCCGCGGCCGAGATCCCTGCAGGTGGGCATGGGAGAGGGTCAAAGGAAGCCAGCTTTGCCTGTGTGGGGGTGGTGGTCAGAGGTATGGGCCCAGAGATGTTTGGGGACTGGGTGCTGGGAGACAGGAAGAGGAAGCCCCTGCCCTCAGCAAGCCCAGGCCCAGAACACAGGCCAGACAAGAGGACCTCCACCCTAAGTCGAAGGCAGAAAGTGGGTGGGTCTCCCTGAGGTCCGGGAAGCACGGGACATGCAAGGGTGCTGGAGGGGCCTGAGCTAGTGTGTGCTGACTCCTAGGCCTGGATCCCACTCCAGATACTGCTGTTCTGACCTCACCCCCAGCCCCTGCTTCCCCGGCGACCCCTAGCAAACCCATGGCGGGCACCACAGACCGAGAAGAAGCTACTCGGCTCCTGGCTGAGAAGCGGCGCCAGGCCCGGGAGCAGCGGGAGCGTGAGGAACAGGAGCGGAGGCTACAGGCAGAAAGGGACAAGTGAGTGTGCCCTCGGGGACAGAGGGGGCCCAAACGGGGGCTGCCAAAGTACAGGACTGAGCCTGAGTTTCATCCGTCCCCCAGGAGAATGCGAGAGGAGCAGCTGGCACGGGAGGCCGAGGCCCAGGCCAAGAGGGAGGCAGAGGCCCGGAGGCGAGAGGAGCAGGAGGCTCGAGAGAAGGCGCAGGCGGAGCAGGAAGAACAGGAGCGGCTTCAGAAGCAGGTGCCCCTGCAGGAGGCGGGCAGTGCAGGGCTGGGCGCTGGGGCCCCCTGATAGCGGGCCGGGGGCTGGCCTGGCGGGAAGGCTGGAGTCCAGCTGCCTAACAGTCACTGGGGTCTTTGGCAGAAAGAGGAAGCCGAAGCTCGGTCCCGGGAAGAAGCAGAGCGGCAGCGTCTGGAGCGGGAAAAGCACTTCCAGCAGGTGGAGCAGGAGCGGCAAGAGCGCAGAAAGGTGACAGAACAGTGGGCAGGAGGGGCATCTTCTGGACTGGATCCCTGCTTCGGTTAATGAGACTGGAAGAGTGGGAGAGTGAGTCTGGGAGAGTGGGCCCTGTCTTGGGCTCGTCGTAAAGGGTAGGCCAAGGAATTGGTGTGAATTCTGGTTCCCGGTCTGGAAAGGACTGGTATGAGCTGCAAGGGCCCTAAGACTCCAGGACCAAGGCTGACCGGTGGGAGGTTTAAGATCAGGGCGGATTTTGAGCCTAACTGATGTGGGTCCTCCAAACAGCGTCTGGAGGAGATCATGAAGAGGACTCGGAAGTCAGAAGCTGCTGAAACCAAGGTCAGGATTCCCCAAGGGAATGCTGGGAGTGGGGGCCGGGTGAGGAAAGGAGGCTGGGGAAGGGCATCCAGGCTGCAGGAAGGAAGGCCGTGAGCGGGCCACTGAGGGTCTGGGCTGGGGGAGAGAATTCAGCACCTTAGCTGGGTGGGGCCAGATATCCCTTGAGTCTGACTGCTCTTCCTCCTCAAAGCAGAAGCCAGACAGGAAGGAGGCAAACGTCAACAATTCCAGCCCAGGTAAAGGCCCCGTTCCCCTCATCTCCATCCCCTTTACCACCCCATCCTCATACCTACTCCTCTCACCAGCCGGCAACTGATGGCCATTCTTTCCCTGTGACAGACCCTGTCAAAGCCGGAGAGTCTCGGCCCTCAGGGCTGCAGAAGGAGGCTGTGCAAAAGGAGGAGCTGGCCCCCCAGGAGCCTCAG